TGTGTCGTTAAAAATCAGCTTTCAATTTCGAGGCATACTTGAGATACGACAAGACGTCTCACAAACCCGGTGTGTCCCATGTACAATTTTTTTTTAAACTTAAGACCAAGTACTTGATCCCTGTATTTTTACGAGTCGCACTTATAGAGGCCAAATCGATTATTTAGACATTGAGAGCGGACCTTACATGGAATTAAATATTTCCCTGCATAGAAGTTATGGTTTTTCCACCGATGGTTGCTCGCTGCAGCTGGACACTGTACGTCAACGAACCTTGTTGCTTAATGGTCATTGTAGTTGCACCAGACCAGCCAACTGTCACTTACTCATCGAATTAGTCTGAATGAGGACTCTAATCGAAATGTGACAATCTTTAAAACGTGCGATGAGGCTTTCTCGTCACTAGTCGGTGCAGTAAAGCAAAAATGAAGCAGGACAATTGTCTGAACGCTTTTTCTCTAGCCTGCTTTAAATACCAGAATCAGCTTCTTCTCATTTTCCTTTTCTTCTAACTGTTCTTTGCCCATCCCGTTCATTCAAGAATAGCCAAAATTTCGTTTGTCGAGCAAAGTGCATTAACTCGTTTTTTCAATTGACTTTGTTCCCATATTCATTTCACACCACTTTAAACCCTTGCTTTTGTAGTTCACCTCATTTATTACACTCCTTTCTTCGTATTTCTCAAATCTTTGTCGTCCAAGCAAAAATAACCTTTTAATATGCCTTTAGCCTGCATTTGCATTTTCAGTAGAACCAGAGAATGGGAAAAATAAGCTGCCTTCGTCAGAAACCAGTGCATGTTTTTACGTGATAATTTAGCCGATGCCGACTGAGCCGAAAGGCCAAAATGTAAGGTGGATGAACAGATGAAGACAGAGCTGCAGTTAGAGCAAAATCTAGTTCTGCAATGGTCAACTTATTTCAGAACCTGCGAAAAGTTGAGGATGCAGCAGGCGTCATAAAACGAGGACATGAATCCAACATGATGTCCATTCTCAAAGAACTCCTTTCCCTGGACCTAGCCAAAATACTTTAAAATTTTAATCCTGCTGAGTTTGTTCTCTTTTATTTATAATCTATACTTTGGAGGCAAAACTGTCATTTGCTAAATGTTGCCGCGTCGCTTCGGTACAAGTGCTCATAAGAGACACATTCGTAAGTACGTGGAGCCACTTCAACGAAAACACGCCGACGCGACGGGTGGAAATTTGATTCAAGGGTCAAGATCGCAAATAGATTCATGGCCATCGCCAAGGACAACTGGTTTTTCATTGTTCATGCAAATGCTGTCACGTTAACTACCTGACGAAAGGAGTAAAAAGGTGAGGAATCGAGTTCGCGACATATGCTTGTGAGGAAGACGGCTGATGGCCACGAGTTTCAGAAAAGGGTAGGCTGGTATTCACAGAAACATAATGGCCTCACAAAATCGGCTCCACATATGGTGACATGAGCAAATGCGTTCTTGGAGCGAACATCGTAATGTTTTTGTGCATCAGCGCGCCAAATTTTGCTCAATACGTCGAGCTTTGGCCCGCTTATACACGCTCCTTGGATTTCCGGATCCCAGCAGCAGTAAAACCTCACTGTTTGCCGTATAACCGGCCTAACGTCGTCCATGACTGATCCTCTACGGACGGCAGCGTCTATGCAAACCAAATTTGCCTGATTGTCTTAAACCCGAAACGAGGCTATGTACTCGTTATTATGATTTGCTTCAAGGTCATATGATTGGAAGATCCGTCGAAGACTAGAAGCCGAAGGTCGACAACGGTTAGCCGAATATGACAGATCACGCAGTTCGGGGTTCTGTATAACCCGTTGTCGTTGAAGAGCACAGCCAGCGGCCGTGTGATATGTGTTGCGGTGAACCGCGACAGTGACCGGGAAGAAGACCATTAAACCTGAAGGCCAACGAACAACTGGGAGTAATACAGCTGACATGACTGCTAAGGACTTGTAAAGCAGCTCCTCTTAAGAGAGAAACATTCGAGTTACAAATAGAGACGAAAGGATTGGGACTGCTACCAATTAATTAATTAATTCCTGGAGAAAGTCTGAGAGCAACTTTACCGTTACGTCTACCCTCAGTGAGCAGAGAATGAAAAACGAAACATGATAGAAAATATAATTCGATGATTGACTTAATTATGTTTCTGACTCCATGAATGAAGCATTTCCGAAATTATTCATTCAGACACTTCACGTGATTCACTGTCTATCAAGTCCAATTGTGTTTTGCAGAAGGAGCGAATAATGCGGTTAACCACGAGTAATTACTATCGTTTCGTTCTATGGGAGGAGGAGGGAGTTGTTTAGTAGTGCTTAATTCATAATAACGCAAGTTGCTCTTTGTTTTCTCAGGTGTGAATTGAGAAACTCCAATGGAACAGAATCAAAAGCTGTAATCGTCATAAAACAACCCAACCGTATATGCATAAGCAACTTTTGAAGTCCTTAACAAGTCAGTGGCAACAGTAATAACACTGTCACGTTTTTTGGCGTCCAAGGTTTCGGAAGACACTATGACCATCCACCGTGAAAGTTATATCCAGAAAACTGTTTCACATATCGCCATCATTTGAATATCATTCTATATGATGCACCTCACGGGCTCAACCATCGCGGATCTCTGGCCTGATTAAATTGTCCTCAAGGCCTTCGGGTACAAAGTCGAGGTGCCATGAATCAATGCATACAAATAGAAGCATTTACATTCATAACATAGGAACCAACTGTCAATATAGGGCAACGCCGGAGCTAGCGAATACTTTTTGTCCTGAAATGGTTCCGTATCTTTCGACGGTCACGATCGAAACGTCAGAACGACACTGACGGATTTCCGTCGGAGATCCCCCCTTTTAGTCTTGTATTTCTATCAAGGAGGCGCGATGCCCGCGGTCTGCTGAATGTTGCTGATCTCGACAAAAGAGGAGGGAAGATCATTTGTGCATACTTTTGACGAGGGCAAAGGATTCACTTTTGCACAGAACCGTGGGAGTTGTAGACAAAGGATATACGTCGTTGACGCTGTGCGAGACCGGGAAAAAGAGAAGAGACGAGGTCTGCAATATCCAGACTTGTTCAATGGCATGAGAACTGTTTCCACGGTGTTAACATGCTGCCGGCACATCTGACGGCAAACCGTTCGCTTGGATTCCAGATGGAGGATTGTGCTCGGAAACTGATGAATCTGTTTTGGCAATACAAGAACCAGGTTGGGCGAATAAAAAACCGTAATAAGTACATCCCGAAAGAAAACATCTGTGATAAATGCAAAGTGTGTGACAGTACAATTGAATAGATCCAACAAATTGTCGCATACAACCCTGAATAGGTACCTCAAACGGTGCAATAGCGTTGCAAAGATCAATTTGCCTAATTTCCAAAACGATGCCGCATTATCGATGACATCCAGCGAGTGTGCTTGACGACGGTTAATGCACCGTCTAATGATACCAGCTGATCTTACAGATACTGAGCTGCTCAGGTCGTCCACACGTGTTAATCTTGGATCAAAACAATAAGACAACTGATATTATTAATGATGTGTTTCTATTGGACAAAAATGTTCAGAAAGCGTGAGTGAAAAAATGAGAACGTGTCAAAACAAGCAGGCACGTTAATTGAAGACTGTGAGGACAATACCAGTGACCAACTCAGCAAATGGCCTCATTCCAAGATGAATAAAAGTTCCCCTTCAGTACCTGAAGCTGGCAGAAATGCGGTCAAAATGAGTTAGAAGTCCGTTGTTTGCGATACGGCGACGACAGCACAACAAATTTTTAGCAGACCGCCGTTAGTTGGTCATTCTTATGGCGGGGACTGTTGGCAAAATATGCCCTCTATGAGAGGATACGAAATAACGGATACTAATTGGAAATATTCAAATGACTTGGTTTTGATTAATTTCATGAGCCTCTGTAAGGAAAAGAGAAAACTATATGTTGTGCCGTGAAAATGCTATTAGCTCGGTAGCAAAACTCCGTGACACTAAAATTCTTACTTCGGTTTTGTTTGGTGCTCTCAACCATGAATTAACACTGCAGCCTCATTTCCAAAAATGAATCAAAAATTTATAACCGCAAACCTCGATCAGGCTGAACTCGAAAATGATTTAATAAGTTCTCGCAACTGCATCGAAGCTGAATAGATATGAC